GACAGTGCTGAAAGCGAGAGTGTCTGCTGGTGTCATTTATCAAACGATTGATCGAGTTGGTGTTATTCGAAATTTCTAATAAATTATGTGAATTTGCTGATTTAGATCCCAAACAACAGCATGAAATCAAGGATTTATTCAAAGGAAAAGCTTGGTGCAGGTAATGTTGCCTTTGAGAAAGTTTGCTTCTCGTATCCTACAAGGGATGGACCTGTTTTGAATGTAAGTATAAATTCTCGTATGTCACAAAAAAAAAGATAATAGCAATGAAAAATTCAGGAATTTTCGTGGGAAGCTCGTGCTGGAGAGTCGGTAGCTCTAGTTGGGCCTAGTGGATGTGGAAAAAGTACATCGGTCAGTTTCGGAAACAGTAAGCTTCTTTATAGAACAGATTTTCGCTTTCCAAACTTTTCTTACAGATTGCTCTGCTTACGCGTCTGTATGAGGCTAATGAGGGTAAAATCACTATCGATGATGTAGACATTCGTGAAATTGAGGTGTCAGCCTTGAGAAAGGTACGTGTAATTATTTCCTGTTCTTTGAGGAGCATTACATGAGAATGCTGTTGTAGCTGAAAATTGGGTCGTCGGCGTGAAATACATTTGCTGTCTTCACTAACTATCTCTTTACATTCTCAATTATCTTTCAAAGTTCCCATGTAAGTCAGTTGGCTACCAAATAAAACGATAATTATCAATTTGAAAACAAACTGGAATATACAATAAATTTTTGGAAATTGAATGAAAGAAGTGCCAATAGTCTGCTGCTCATTTATCATCTTTTCAGAGTATAGGAATTGTGCAGCAAGAACCACAACTCTTCAGGGGTACTGTACGTGAGAACATTTCGTTGAATAGAGAAGGCATAGATGAGGAAAAGATTAGAAAAGCTGCTGACATAGCAAACGCTACTGGATTCATCGAGGAACTACAAAATGTACTGTACGATTCATACTGACTCCGGTATTTATTCAAGCGGAAATTGAGTTCAGGGTTTTGACACACTTCTTGGTTGCGGCGGAATTACCCTATCGGGAGGACAGAAGCAACGTATAGCAATAGCTCGAGCTATTGTTACCAATCCATGTCTTCTACTACTAGACGAAGCAACCAGTGCCTTGGATGTGAATAGTGAGAAGGTTGTTCAGGTAATCATAAAATTCTTACTACACGGAATATGTTGCACACCCAAAAAGTCCAAAACACCGTTTAAATTTTTAACTTTGTTATTTTTCAACAGATGGTGGTTCTAGTATTTTAGGTCGTTTTAGAAGACAGCATTAACTTTTGAGCATAGAATCTTTGTTTTTTATAGGTAAATCTTGCAGAAGAAAGGGATTGAATGGTGTGACGTAAATATTGAGTTGTGAGATAAGTGCTGTTTTTATCCTAAAGATTTTCTAGAAAAAGCTTCGGCAATACGTCACATGTCTAAAAATCCAGCCAATTCTTAAGTAATCGGTTCAGAAAAGGCTTCAATGAAATGTGAAGAGAAACGCTCATTCGGCACTTATTTGAATAAAAATCTCCAGATTTCCCTAAAATTCTGCATATTGCGGTAGTCTGCTGCTCACGAAGATCGTACTTAATTTGAAAGATTGCACTAGGTTCATGATGGATGATTGAAAATTCCTTAGCCAAAACATCCGCTTAGAATTTGTTTTATTAAAGTAAAATGACAATTTTGATTATAAAAACTGCCCGCTCCCATCCTTACTGTAGGACTACGATAGGTCCATAATCTAAGGGCCAAACTTCGGTTTTGAAATGGGACACATGGAGAAACTCCTAGCTACAATGCGAAGTGGCTTGTTGGGCAAAATGGACATGATTTCCGTAAAGAGTGTGTCAGTCATCTTTAAGCAAACCTTTTTTACAGAATTATAATAATTCTACAAAAAG